ACCCCCCCACCCCACTACTACTACCACCACCACCACCATCCCCGAGCGAATGGCTCCCTTAAAGTCACGTACTCTCGTTTTATTAGAGTCTCAAGTCTCTTCTTTAAAAGGCGCATTTAAAACAAGCGTTGTAGATTTTTTTTAATTTTTTTTAATTAATTTTTCCCATATATACAGATTTAATGTTATTTTGTTTAATTTTTTTTGAAAGCTTTTTTTGGGTTTCACGGAAATAAGTAAATAAATAACACGTAGTGGGAAAACATTACCTACGTAAATTAGGGACTTACAACATCAGTCTTTTAATAATGAAAAAAATATTTTATGCTATGTAATTTTAAATATTTTGAATTTCATCAGGATTCCAAATTACAACCGAATTATAAGTGTCTACAACCGTTGTTTGGAAAATAACATATGATTAAAAGAGGCTTCGAATTTAAGAAAGAGCATCCTAAATTTCCCTTTTTCGTTTAACTTTAATTTTAATAATTTAATTTAAATTAAATTTTAATAAATACCTCACCTCCAAATTAAAAGTTGTCGGATGCCGCTAAATATTTACAACAGAGGCAGTAAATCCGAAAATTCCAAAGTTCAGGAAGGACAATGATATTCTTACAATGCCACGATGATGAAATTGGTAGAAAGACTGACTCAAATAAGATAAGGGCTGAGTCACATTGACCTACTGATCAGTATCTCTCTCCCTTGGGGGTTTCAGTGAACGCCTCTTGTGGTCTCGAAGACTTCTGTTGTTGTCTTCGAAATGCTTTCGTTGTAGAAAAAGACACCAACAGGACGTGCCAAACAAATCCACACGTGCGTAGACGCTACCCATTCAACCAATCAGGAGCTGTGGTGCACTAAAGGCAAACGTTATCGATTAGGCGCTATTTCTGGAAGTAACCGAACGTGCTTGCTTCTATGTGTGTGCAATACTGTCTCGTCCAATCAAACGTTGTCACGACCGGAAATGAGAAAATTCTTTGAACCATTTGAAATAAAATTCTTCATTAAAAGTTATTTTGAATGCACCGAATGACACAATATAATTTCAACAGACGTGCACTTCATTTTTATTTTGAATTGATTTTAACATTCATTAAAATCT